CCCAGCCTGGTTTTTCTTGTATTACCTGATATTAGATATGTGATTTAGGACTGGTTATAAATCACTGTTTGCAGTATACTTTGTCATCTTTAACATACACTTTAACTGTCTCTTTGGCTTCCCTTGCTCCCCTTAAGTTAGACTGGGATCATGCAAGAAGAATGAGCAAAATTAAAGTCCATCTGCACACTGTTTCTAATGGCACTGTAATGTCATGTCTGATCATCTATGGACATTACTTTTTTACAAATAATATTTGAAAATCGTTGAATGACTAAATTATTTCATTCCCATTTTTAAATAGCCTACTGTTTACGCATATCATCATTTACAATCACAATTTTTATTTTTAAGCTAGACTTAGCTTTGTTGGCTGTTTGTGAAATACTCGATGATCTTTATTCTCGCTTTGCTGGTATAGCATCGCATATTCTCTTGTTTCTGTAGGACTGGTTGCAAAACAGGAGGCTCCGCAATTATCTATGAGCGTTCTTCAACTCCAGTTTGAGGGGATTTTGGGCTACATTACTTGTGATTTGGTACCAGCATAAAAATTATAAGCGTCATTGGCCATAAATTGCTCGTTAAACATGACAGGTGCATAGGGAGTGTCTTTTGCACGTGATGTCTTCCCATACCAAACTGACTGGAGTTTTATAGCGCGCAGTTGAATCGAGTTGCGACTCAATTGTGAAGAATAGGCTGTCTCGGAATGTCTTTTGGCTGTGTATATTGATCTCAGATGGTAGGTTGTATTTCCTTTATATGTGCGTCTCACGCGATTGTTTGCCCTGTGTTTTATTAATTAAAAACAAAATAATGTGGGTATATAGAACAGACTAACATACTAAGAAAAATAAAGTAGATTTTTAATGAAAGTCTTTTTAGTCAAATGTTTTGTTTTAGGTGCGTACAGAAGGCGTGAAGTCGGTATCAGTGGTGGAGGGAGATTCTGTCACTCTAAACACTGGATTATCCAATATGCAGGATCACATATTATTGTGGAATTATGAACCTCACACTCTCATAATAGAAATCATAAAAATGGCCAACCTGAGCTTTATGTAAGAAGGGAAATTAAGAGACAAACTCCTTGTGGACAGCCAAACTGGATCTCTTACCATCACAAACATCAGTATTGCACAGTTTGGACTTTATAGACTTCAGATCATCAGTCGCCAAATAACAATAAAGAGATTCAACGTTACTGTCTATGGTGAGTATGCTCATATATTTTAATTAACGGAAACAGGCTGAACACAATGTCTTTTTCCTTCCCTGGGGGATGCGAGAGATGTCATGGTGGAGAAGTGTACAGATTTACATGATAGACTCTAGCTTAATAAGATTTGTGAGACATTTTCAGGCACTTGAAAGTACAGTTAGAAACTCAGTCTTACATTTCACAGACTATGGTTAAAGAGATAGTACACCCAAAAATTTACAATTTTAAAGCATTTACCCTCAAGTTTGTTCCAAACTTGTATTATTTCTTTCTTATGGTGAACACAAAAGATGATATTTTGAAGAACCTAACAGTTGCTGGTAGCCATTGACTTTTTTTTTCTCAGTGGGG